CCCCGTGTTCGAATGCGAAGAATGTGAATTGGAATATTGGAAGTCCTGTTCCTTTGATGATTCCACTAGTGAATGGTTGGATTATTTTTGGTCTAATAGCAAGCTTCATTTCTTGTTAGGAACTTTGCTACCGAGCCAAAGATTATCTAACCATATCCCTTAGTGGCTTGCATTGAAGGGGAACTCGTGAATGGTCGGATAGCTTTTGGTTATATAGCAAGCTTTATTTCCTATTAGAAACTTTGCTATCGAGACAAAGACTATCTAATCATCCCGTAGTGGCTTGTTATTTAAAGGTCTTATTTTATGCTAATGTCGTTTCCTTCGTAGTATATTTTCTGTTGCTGTTTCGCTAAAAACCTTGCTAGAAAAATTCAATGTGACAACAACTGGATGAAGGAAAAAAGGGTGCAGCACATACTTTCAGTATAAGCGGTGCTCATAAGCAATAGTACCTTTTGAGATGTGTCATGTTCCATTTGCTCGGCAATTTTACTCCGTCTTGATTTTCCAATTCATAAGCTCATTTCCCGATGACAGTTGAAACCTAGTAGGGGCCTTCCAATGTCGGGCCCAACTTCCCTGCGTTGAGCTCTCCGGTGTTTTGAGTCACTTTCCTTAAAACTAAGTCCCCTACTTTGAAATAACTGAGATTAGCTCTTCGATTATAGTATTTTTCCATTCTTTGTTTCTGAGCCACCATCCTTATATGCACCAAGTCTCTGTATTCTTCCAGTAGCTCCCATCTAACCAGTAACACTTCATTATTTGCTTCTTCATCCGCCTAAAAGTATCTCATGATAGGTTCTCCCACTTCTACCATGATCAGGGCTTCTGCTCCGTATACGAGAGAGAAAGATGTCTCTCTTGTGCTTGACTTGGCTGCCGTTTGGTATGCCCATAGAACTCCCGGTAACTCTCCGAAGCCATTTACCTTTGGTTGCTTCTTATCTCTTTTTGAGATTTTGAATAATCACCTAATTTGTCGATTCCGCTTGGCCGTTTGCGCTCGGGTGATATGGTGAAGATGTCATTCTTTTGATTTTCAAGTTTTTAAGGAACTTTGTAACTTTTGCGCCTATAAATTGCAGCCCGTTGTCGCAGGCCATTTCCTTTGGTATTCCGAACCTAAAAATTATGTTTTCTAACAGGAAATCGACCACTTCGCGCTTGCTAATTTTTTGGTAAGGACCTGCTTCAACCCACTTAGAGAAGTAATTAGTTAAAATCAAAAGAAATTTTACCTTACCGGGAGCCGACAGCAGCGGACCGACTATGTCCATTCCCCATTTCATGAATGACCAAGGCGACAATACTGAATGTAATAGTTCTGCCGGTTGATGCACAAACAGTGCGTGGCATTGACACTTGTTGCATTTTTTAACAAATGCCTTAGTGTCTTGTTCCATATAGGTCCAATAGTATCCTACCCTAGTTAACTTTAATACTAGCGAGTCTGCACCAAATTGATTTCCACAGATTCCTTTGTAAACTTCTTTCATGATGTAATTAGCCTCGGAGGCTCCTAATCATTGGGCCAACGGGCCTTGGAAAGACTTTCTATACAACTGGCCTCCTCTAAAGTTGTACCGAGCTGCTTTTAATGTGGAGTGCCCAGGATGCCTTTGAATCTTCGGGTAGTTTGCCATGATCCAGATAGTCGATGATCTCATTTGTCCAGTCCCAGACCAAATTAGTTGCATTTACTTCATAATAGCCTTCCACATCCAATATTGAATGCATGAGCTGTACGACCTTACTGGAGTTAGATCCCTTTATTTCTGTGGTCGAGCCCACATTGGCTAGTGCGTCTCCTTATGCATTTTCTTCACTCGCGATGTGGGTGATTGACCATTCCCTAAACCATGTGAGTAGAGTGTTACAACCCATATTCACGTATGTTAGCTCATGCCATAAGGTAGTCAACGTAAATCCATGAAGAGATTATCTTTAAGATTATAAGAAGTTAATCCTATTGGTCTTAAATGATACAAAGGTGTATAAGGGTGGTTAACAAGTATTAAAAATTAAACGAATCAAGGATATTATCAGCCGTATTTTTGGATAAACCTAGAGGTGCTTAATACACTCAAGAGGTAGTGTTTTAAGGTATTTGAATCATATAATATCCGTATTATAAGTTTTGAAGTCAAATGAGTTATGAGACAAAAGTCGACAAAAGTTGTCACAACTTAGGTTCATAATTTTACTTAAACATTAGATCAAATGTTACTATGTTTTTCTCCCAATTTACTTAGAATTATGGGGTAATATACCCACCAAATTGAAGATCTATGAGTCTAGTTTCCAACGCATTAAACCGTTCATCGATACGATATCGGAGCAGAGAGATATTTGTGTTTTCGTGAGACTGCGCCAAGCACCTCTCTATGGGGCCCACTTAGGCGGTTTAAGACATTTGGGTATATATATGATGCCTCCAACCCGTTTTAAGTCATGTTTTTCACGATATTCAGACTTTAGAATCCTAGGAACACCCTCTAAAGGTTCTCTCAAGATTCAAGACCCAAACAAAGGGCAAACAACACAAATCAAATGTCGGGAATCCCGTGGCACTAGTAAGTTTCTTTTTCTTCTTGTTGTTGCTCATTTTTGTGTTGTTCCAGCTCGTGTGGGAGGTTGTTTTAAAAGGTTTATGTTCTGTAAATACTCCCTCAAGTTCTTAATATCAACCCTAGGAAATTTCAAGCCTTCTAAAGTGGTTTTAGTGCCGAAAAACTCTAATTGACTGCTAGTTTCACTTTCTTGTTGTTGTGGC